AGAGGATAGGAAAGAAACTTCTAATATGATAAACATAGTGTTCTATATGAATTAAAAAAGATACACCAAAGAAACAAATTTTTCTTTCTGAATTTTAAAATCGAAGAAAAAAATAATTAAAAGCATCAGAAATACCCCATTGGGTCAAACTAGACGTGTTATTCTAGTTAGTGTGCCTCTGATGGTGCAAACAGGGATGCTATTTAGGAAGCACATGAACCCCCCTGCTTGCTCATTTTTGTTCTCTTAGTGCTTTCCCAGCATCAATGTTCTTTAGGTTAGTAACCTCAAATTATACATTCTTTCTTGTTCTCTTCAGGACTTCTTTATGGACCTGTTGTCTTTGGATTTGTCTGGTCACATATGAACCTGCTTGCTATGTCTGTAGCAATTCCAAAAGTCCACAAATGCTTTTTTTTTTACTCTCTTTCAAGTTGTTCCCCTATGTCTTTCATTAAATGCTCTCTCATTAACATGATTGGGAAGCTCTTGTCCTAAAGCCTTGCAAAGCAGAACCAGAAAGGGGAAAGCACTCAGATACTTGTGCAAGACTTCCATGCATCAGATCTTGCAGAACTTTGTATTTTGTTACACAAAGAGGGTGCCTTCAGAGTTTTGGGAAGAAAATTACTGTGATATATGGAGACAATCCTGGCAGTATTCACAAAATTGGAAGCTCCTCAGCATTTTTTGCCTCCTTAGGCACACCTATGCAATGTATAGGAAAGAAGGATTTTTTCCTGACTTTAATTCGCAGATATTTTGTGGTAAATTCCACAGCTGTGACCAGAAACTGGACGACCTTGTTTGCAGGACAGCCACAAAGTAGCCACAAAGTTTGGTCTTTATTATAATGTCTGTTTTTCTTCTTCTTGAAGTCTGTTCTTTAAAATTTGATGTGTTCATGTCATTGCAATGTAGTTCACTGCCCTGCATTACCTCCAGTGAAGGGAGTTTGAGACTTTGCAGATGAGACAGACTGACAGACACAGAAGCCCACAGTATGATAAAATAAATTATATCACTGATGGGCTTTTCTGTCAGTGTATATGAGTTATTGAATGCTTAAGCAGAAATATTACGTTTCTTCTAACCCTTATTCCTCATAAAACTCAACAACTAAAAAGATAACAGTTATGTAATTTTTAGTGGCTATACATGCTTTCATCTTCTTTTCCTTTTCTACTTTGTTCAAAAGTCCATTACAGAAATACAAATGAAATTCCCTCCAGTGGTGTAAATTTTCATATCTCAGTAGGTAGATGGAAGGAAAAGATTCATAGTTCATTTACATTTCTGTGAATCCAAGATTTTTTGGAAGTGACTGATGTTTTGGAAAACATGAACAATTGGAGCAGGAATCTTGTGTTCTTTGGCATCTAGATTTTGGAAGTCGAACTCTCCTTTGTCTGAAATGCAGCCTCTTAAAACTGTCTTAAACATTATTCAAAATAAGGCCTCTGGAACTACTCATTGCTTTTGAAAAACCTGGATGTTTGTTTTAGTAGTTCCATAGTCTCAAAATTACTGCTTTCAGGTCTTGTTTACTTATTTTGGACATGAATTTTTGGTGGTTCCTGAGTGACTGCTGCACATTTATAAGCAGACATGGTTGGAACAACTGGACAAGGGCAGCTGGTGCCACTGTCCACTGTTCCTGCTGATGCTGGCTGCCTGGCTAGGAAGCAGTGTGAGCTTGGTAGGGCCAGCAGGAGGGCATCTGGCTGCTGGTCAAGGCAGAGGGATCACATGGGGCTCTGGGTTACAGAGGTTCCCCATCCATCCTGTTTTCAAGAGCTGCTGAACAAAGTGCAGCGAAAAACTTTAGGAAGGAGGGCAGGAGTCCAGGCCTTCCCTTCCCAATAGAGCACACCATGCCAGCAATGTTGAGAGCTTTGATTTATTTTTCTTCTTTTTGGCCCTCAACATTAAGTTCATTGTATGGTTTCTGAATGGCAGAGAAAGACCTAGCACCTTCTGTTCTCTTCAGAACCTTCTGATCTGTTCAAATCAGAAAAATCCTCCAGGCTGCCCAGTGGCAACATCTTGCATACAAGTGACATTAAACCCAGCCAGGTCAACTTGCCTTGTGAGGAGGTCTCCAGAAATAGCTGGAGAGAATTATTATTTGAAGGCAGCTATCTGAGCTATTTAAGAAGTCACCCTGATGGCTGAACCACTGTCTCCATTTCTGAGTTATTCCTCTTCCTGTGCTGGCTATTCTTCTGCTCCCTCACAATCACCTTTTCATTTCATTCTGAGATGTTTGAAGTTTGGAGGTAGAGGGAATGAAGTGCAGGTTTTCAGGCTCCATAGGAAAATCCTAGTCCTTTAGACTCAACTGTTGCTGATGAGGACTGGGTAAAAGAAAGATACTAGAGAAAAAAGGATTCCTCCTTCCCCTAGCACATCTGTCCAGCTGTGTCTTAATGCATCTGCTACTGCTGTCACTGTTTTTCCAGTAAGAACCTCTAGCTAAGATGATGTCTGTCTCCTCTATAGTACTCTACAAATTTGTCAATGCCTGGCTTAGCTTCCCCTTTCTGGATACTGTTGTACAATGTGAAAACAGATGTAGATAATAAGGACATCTCTAGGAGGTAAAATCTATCCTTTTAGTGGAGGGCATTTTAATTTATGTAGGGAAGGGAATAGCAGGTATACTTACTTAATGTTTAAGCACTGCACTGTTTGAGTCATATAATTCTCATTTTACCATGTAGGGTCTGAAGGACATTATAAAAGTTTTGAACCTGGACTTGTCAAGCTAGATATTGTTGTGCATGGTCAAATGAAAAAAAAAGTCAAAAACACCCCAGAACTCAACCTTGTATTTCCAAAGGCTGCTATGCACTTGGACCTGCCAATGAAATCACTCCACTTACTTTTTTCTTTTAAACTGACTCATCTGAAGGTTGAAAGTGTCCTAGGCTTTAATCACTCACAGAGAAATAAAACACCTCATCCAAACTGTTTGTGTGTCCTGTTTGTTATCTTGGTGAATTTGCCAGCGTCTTCAGGATGGTGCCTTCTAGTGTTTGAGTGTATGAGGTGAACTCACAGTGTATGTGTGGAAGCAAAAAACACCAGGAATATAGTAAGAGGCTTTTTTTTCAACCTCATGTATGGCAGTGTAATTGTGTGTTTTTTAATGAACAGACCAGAGTAGTTACACTTGGTAATGTTTGTTCACTAAAAAGGAAAAGGGGTGTTAAATCATTATGTTCTTTGATGAATGGCTTGTACACTGAAGAATAAATTGAACAAACTGGCATAGAGCTCAGTGAACATGAAATCAGCTATTAGAAGAAAGCTTGTGAACAAATTCTGAGCCTGATATGCATCTTTTGATTAATGTCCTATTAATCATCCATAGTGGCTACCTTAGCTAAGTCGTGCTGTAATCATTCATGGTTGCTTACAGGAACACTAGCAGAGACTATAGAGCTTCAATAACTGAATATTATTACTGATTTCTCCCTAACTCTTGCTGTGAACAATTACTGTTTTCACTACGTTTCTGCCTCCCATTATTAGAAAGAATACAATGCAGAATGAAAAGAGAGTTCCTCAAAGACCAGTAAAATTCTCCCAGGGTATTCTTAATGATATTCTGTCCTAAATGGGCAAACTATTGTAATGCAGAGTTCTCACCAGGAATAATAGTAATGTAATCACATTGAAGCTGTCTTTTTATGAACTGTAGTCAAACAGACAAAATGTATAGTCATATTAATGAACACAGAATTTCCGTAGAATTATTACTTGAAATGGTTGAAATTATTTTGGCTTTTTGTATCACAGTATTTTCAGTTAATGCACTTAGCAGCAGCAGCAATTAAGACTCCAGACTGTTAATTTGGATAAATTTGACATTAGAAGAAGCCTTGATTCTTGGAAGGTATAATGCCCATACCCCTCTCCTTTGAGACCAAATGTTTTATATTCCTGTGGCTTTTTTGAACTCTAGTCGTTCAATGTATTTTTTTAATCAATGAATATTATTTTTCTTTTTTTTTTTCCTCCTTTATGATTGAAAGTCATTGGCAAATATTTGCAGGAGGATCTCTTACTCCTGTGTGTGAAGATTTAGTTCCACACCATTTATTTCTCAAGTGTGACACAAAGAATGCTTTTGCACTACCCACAACATAGGTCCTTAGATGGCAGTGTAATTTCCTCCTAAATCACTGTGGTCTGGGAAATACGGAGAAGTAATGAAGTGATGACAGGTATTAACATGCATAATGGGCTTTAATAGACATTTAATGTTGTTTAACTGGAAGAAGGAGAAATGCTTTCCCATTGGAATATTTCTACATTGGAAGTCATTGATCACGAATTTCAGAGGGGAAAGGTTAATCCATCAGTTTCTGTAACCAAACAGCACTGATGGAAATTCTTTAGGTGACATTCTGGATGAACTGAGCTTTCCATCTTTGCAAACAAATGAGTGATATGACAAGCATGGTGTTCAGAACACATTTAACCAATTGATTTTCTCTCTTCTTGTAATAAGATCTAGAGACATATGAAAGAGTGTAGCATGAGCCAAGATTAAAGGAACTGCTTCATACACGTGAACATAGGGGAACTGCATTATCAATAAAAGTACTATAAAGCATGTAGGCACCCATTCTTTTTCTTTATATAAAGTTTGTTATTGCAATAAATAGCTGTTATTGAACTGCCTGCCTTTTATTTCAGTTTTTCTGAATTTTATTTCGGTCAGCTTTCTGTGGTTTCTGGTAGAGGTTAGGAAAAAATGTTTGTTTTGTTATGGTATCATTTTTGTACTGACTAGTAAAGCCAGAGCAACTCTGGATTTAAAATCAGGATTTGTCACGTTTTGGGGCACGAAGAAGGATATGAGGGGGAAATCTGTCTTCAAGTAGTTTAAAGATGTCAAATATATTTTAAAGTTTTAATCTGTATGGTTCCTTACCATAATGATCCTCATCTTTTTCCTCCCTCTTCCCTCCTTTTTCTCCCAAATTCAGCCCTGCTCTGAGTTTCACATACCCTCCTACACCAGTATCCCTCCAGCAAATGCATCAGCAAATTATAAGTCGTCAGCAAACCCTAGGTTCAGCCTTTGGACACAGCCCTCCACTCATCCATCCTGCTCCAACTTTTCCTACCCAGAGACCTATCCCCGGCATCCCCAGTGTCCTGAACCCTGTCCAGGTCAGCTCTGGGCCTTCTGAGTCCACACAGGTGAGAGACAACAAAAGAAACCTTTACACTCCATTAATTTAAAAATTAAATAAATGGCAATGTCTCAATGGCAATTAATCACCACTGTCACTGAGACCCTTCGATAACAGTTTTCTTGTAGCTCTAGTGCTTGCAGTCACTTTATTATGAATCACAGGACTGTTGGTGCAGTTCCTGATTGGTAGTGTGCTTTTTAGTCCTCATAAATATTCCAGTGTACTGCAGCATCTTCTCGTTCCATACTGCCTCTCCTTGATCTTATACAGGAACCTAGTAGAGGTGGGGAGTAAGGGGCAAAACACATCAAAACGACCAATGTTTAATCTTTAGATTAGCAGCTTCAACTTCAAATCAGGCTGACCCTAGAATATACAAAGTCATATTCTGCCCTCATTGTACAGCTGTGAGTAACCTGAAGCAAGTAACTCTGTGAGCAAGAGAGTAGCTAAAAAACGGTGAAAAGGATTGAAGGCTTTTTTCTCTGATTTTTACGAAATTGGACTTACTGAGTTTGAATTAATCATTTCAGTAAGGTGTATTCCTGAAAGCTGGGAATGAGCAGCAGTGAATCAGGTTCCTAATGTGGAGTTTATCACGGTTTGTGATTTGCCTGTTATTAACTAGTGCTGTTTGTTTCTAGATGACCTGGGATAGGTTATTTGTCAGTCTGGAAGCTGTTTATCTCCTGACTAGCTTTTACAAATACAGAGGAAGAACATACTGCTGTATTGATTTTTTTGTGGGGTCCCTGCAAGTTCAGATATCTGTAAAAGATCTCTGGATTCCTACAAGATCCATTTGCAGGTGTAGATGATGGTGTTCAGTCGAGCACAACAAGAGAAAAACAAGATTCTGGCCTGTTTATGTCAGCTATTTTGCTATTAACTTGTGAGACTCTAGGACTTCATCTGGGATTTTTTGGCTGAGTCTCACACTAGCGTTTGGTTCTTCTTCCTATCCACCCATTATAATAGGAAGCATAGTGAAGAAGCTGAGATCTTGTGTGCAGATATTAAATGCAAAACCTTTCCTTAAGTGTGAAAAAATAAATGTTTCTCTTGTGTTTATTTGAGCATGCAGTGGTTTTCCTTCTCAAAATTGCCTTTCCAAAGTTGTCATTATGTGGAAAATCAAGTTCTTCCTACCTCTCACTGCTCTGACAAAACCAGCATGGGTTTGTAGCAAGCAATTACATCAAATGCTCCCCTTTCCACTCCCTCCCTGCTCTGCTGCAAAGTTGAGCAATGCAGCTCTTCCATGAGTTAATGCTATGTAATTGAAGAACAATGTAATTGCATATCCAATATAATTAACAGTGCAGCTTCTCCATACAAAGTTGCTGAGCAGATGCTGCATATTTTTGTTCGGAGCCACGTATTTATCGCAGTCTAATTTTGTCTTCTTCTGGGGGGAAAAAAAAAAACCCCACCTGCCTGCAGCAGAATAAACCCACAAGTGAATCTGCAGTGAGCAGCACAGGAGACCCCATGCACAACAAACGCTCCAAGATAAAGCCTGACGAGGACCTCCCCAGCCCGGGAGCAGGAAGCATGCAGGTATGGCAGTCAGGTTCCAGTCATGAACCTTCCCTCTTGCTGCTGGAGGGAAAACGCAGCTTTTCCTGTGACACACACGTTTTCACTTTGTGTGCTGCACACACGGGCAGCTTCTGCCCGCAGCAGCCAGGGTTTGATGGCAGTGGTGGCTCCTGGGGTGCAGGGTCTGTGGCAGGATGAGGGCAGAGAGGAGGGAGGCTGATGGAGAGGCACTTCTGACCAGTCAGAGCATGCTCAACGCTCTGTTCGCCACAGAAAAGTGAACAAGGAACTTTATTCAGGTCTTTATTAAGAACGTGTTTTCTGTTCAGCAAAACTACTTAAAGCCACCTTGACTTTTACTGGGTCTTAGCACTGTTCTGTGCTGAGACCCCAGTGTCAGGCTCCAGTCTCGTTTGCTGTACTTTGTATACCAGTTAATGCCACTGGTTTTAGTAGAGTGACTCTTGATTTACAGTGACTCAGGGAAGATGAGAATCAGAGCCTCAGTCTTGTAAGTGAATCCATGAAAACAAAGCAGAGGTCTGCCTAAATCCTTCAGCCAGGTCTGAAATGGAAAAATAACAGGAGTGCATAATCTGAACCCAATGTTTACACTAACATCTGACTCTTACACTCAGCAAATAACAAGCTGGGGAGAATGTGACACCTGATGAACTGGAGATGGGAAATCTAACCCCAAAATACTTTCTTCCCTTGCTCACCCCTTTAATGAACATGTTAAGGGCAAGAACAGACTAACGAGTAACTCAAAAATTACCAGTCTGCTCTTGAAAAGGTTTTAGCATGCAAACCTGTTATTGTTTTAATAATGGAAACACACTGGATTACTGGTGATCCAATTTCTGTCCAACCCTAGTACTAAAATCAAATTCCAATTAATTCAACTATATTGAATAGTGCCTTTCACATTAGTGGTGCCACTGAATCATGAAAGCCAGGTGCACAAATTGCAAGCTGCTTAAATAAAGTGTGATGGAAGCCAGGCCATTATGATTTATTTTTAATTGAAATGTAATGAGAACGAAGAATTTATTTTGCATGTATAGTTTGCAAATGGCTTCTGGCTTATCAGGCCTGTTTTGGGCTTCTGTATTTTGTACAATGGAGTAGCATAGTGAAGTGAGAGTAAAAATAATCCTCCCTCCCCCACCTTCTCCACACACACACACCTCCCCATCATCTTTCTTTTAATGCTGAAGTAATTCACATTTCTTCCTCCTCAGTTTCAGAATGTCCTCTCTCTTCTTCTCACCCCTGTTTTTTTCCTCTCTCCAGGAACAGCCAGAAGGAATGACCTTGGTAAAAGAGGAAGGGGACAAAGATGAAAGCAAACAGGAGCCTGAAGTGGTCTATGAGACAAACTGCCACTGGGAAGGCTGTTCCCGGGAGTTTGACACGCAGGAACAGCTAGTGCATGTAAGTTAATGGTATTCAGGAACTAGGTTTTAAAACTACGTGACCTTTTTCATGGGGGTCAGGTTCTCTGACCCTATGCTGAGTCAAGTTTCTTAGCTAACAGAGCTGCAAACTGGAGAGGGGTTTATGAGTTTCTGAGAATAAAGAAAACTTGAAGCCACAGTGCTTGACCTGTTCAGTCAGCTAAAGCTTAGTGTAAAATTCAATAAAGTCTTCCACAGAGATTGTAATGGCTCTGATCCTGTAAGCCAGCAAACGCTATTTTGAGTTAGAGACTTTGATAGTTATTGAGTAATAGTAAGCTGGACATGAATGATTATTAACCTTTAGTCAAGTTTGATTTTTTTCTCCCCAAAGGGGCTGTAACAGTAGAAATGGGTGAGGGGAATTTTTTCCCTTCCCTAAGAGAGGTTTTGCTATCAATTTACTGTTGTGTGTAGACTGAAAGGGATTATTTGGCTAAATACATGCGGGCTGAGTTACTTCAGTCATTTTAGCAAAAGCAAACCGTATAATCTTTTCAGTGGTATATCAAATATATCCCTTGATTTTTATTCCTCTCTGTCAGCTCTCCCAAATAAACAATTTGTACTGTTTGGTAATATTGGAAGATAGAAAGTGAGCAATCAAAATTCAGAATACGACCTGACAAGTACAATACCCTGCCATTCTAACCTCCTTAACTAGAAGCTTAACTCTTTTATTTACTGGCATCATAGAACATATTGAATACTCTGAAAAGAAAAATTGAATTCCTAGTACAGAATAGAGAACATCTTCAGCAAATGAGCTGTGTGACAGAATTGTATTTAGTTTAGAAAACTGTTTAATACTTTACTGGAGATCATGCAAAATCTATTGCAGAATGTGGCTAGTACGTCTGAAATAGCTAATTGAAAAGTCCACTTTTTTACCCCAAATAAATTAAAACAAACCTGCCATATATTTCCAAACACTATGCCAAATGGTAAACTTATCCTGCAAAGATGACTTTAGTAAAGCAATTTCAGCTTTCACTTGCTGGAATGTGAGAACCTCTTGGTGTTGCAGGTATTCATCAAGATGTATTTTCAGGTTCTTGTTGTTATGAAGTAGTAGCAGCAGTAACAACAATAATGATAAATGAAAGACTACCAACAACTAAAATAATATCCAAAATGTGACATTTTTCCAAGAATTCTTTGAGACATTTTGCTCACATAATTCCCTAACATTTGAATAGGCCAAATTGAAATGTGAGGAGAAACTGTTTTGGTGTCACAGTACCTTTTGGGGAAGAAATGCCAGTGGCTTGACACATTTCAATTAAAAGATCAAATGTTGGTCTTTGAATTGATTCTGTGCAAATGGACCAAATGACATCATATGGGGCTCTGCATAGGCACAGTCTTTATATCTGCTAGCAATTGTTAAGGCTGAAGCTTTATGATGCCTGGCAAACCTTTCAGTATTCAGAAGTTATCCCAGTGATGATGATAAATAATACACACAAAAATATATGAAATAAAATAGAAATTCGGAATAAAAGTTAACTTCGGCAATAAAAAAAGGATTTTTTTTATGTTCCAGGTGTAAAATTTAATGGAAGTCCACTGAACATGTTAGGTAATAGCCTGTGTTTTGTATTTTAAAGTGAATTAAATTTACATAGTGGTAGTTTACTTCTTCTGGAGTTTAATGATAAAGTTAATTTGTTGGTTTTGGTGGGATTTTCATAGCAAATCTGCCTGCATTGTAATGGTCAATAGCAAGTCTGAAAAAAGTGTATTTCTTATGCTTCTGAACAATGGCAACATCTGAAACGAGTTTCTCTGGACATAGAAAAGGAATATAAAAAGTTTTTCTATGACAGGGAGTTCTTTTTTTCTATGACAAGGCTCAGGATTCAGGTGTGTTATGATGGTGTTTAGGATTACAAGGTACAAGATTTGACTCCATACCCTGAAGAAAATAAATTCATCATGGCAACCATCCCATTTAAGTAGCACAAATCATGCTGTAAGAGTCAGCGGGATTCAGTGATGGGGCCATGGTTTGTGATTTCTTTTGCTGCTCTGGCAGAGCCCTGCTGTGGGGCCTTGAGCAAGTTATTTCTGCCCAGAATTGCAAAGGGCTTTAGACATCCAACTCTGTTTGAAAGCCTGGCCACTCACCCCAGTCTGCCTTTTGCACATTTTGTCTGCCCTTGATTGCTACAGCCCTCTGATGCACATCTGCAGCAGCTAGGGAAATGAGGTCTGGTCTCAGTAGGGCTTCATAGGAGGGCAGCCCTGGTTTCACTTGGATGTGTCACTCTGGCAGAAAGTGTTCCATCCCTGAGCATTAGGTCCTTGAAAATCTCAGCTGAAAAAGTGCTGTGCCTCATGTATGCCTCCTATCCAAATACTGTAGGTAAATCCAAGTAGATACGAATTGCTGTAGCTGCCCTAAAACCGGTGTCAGCACAGTTCTGAATGCTGTGTGTGCATGCGTGTCCCCGAACCAGGCACAGGCACAGTGTGTGTCTCAGAGCTTGTGCACATGCTTGGCTCCTCAGCCCTGACACTGTGGTAGCAGCTGGAGGCTGCCCCCAAGCCTCACGATGCCAGACACTGCTCAAACACAGGACAAGGAGTGCACCTGACGTGGGCACGAGGTCTTTCACCCTGCAGCTCTGGGGCCACGTACATCGGGCTCCTTGTGCTGTCAGGAGATACCTGATCTGGCAGCAGAGTTGTGCCACCATGCCTCTCCTGGCTGCTGCTGTTCTCCTGGTGATCCCCAACCCACAGGCAGACTCAGCAGAGCCTGAGCTGCTCCAGCTGAGCTTGAAGAACTTGAATGTTTGGAAGTAAGACACTAGACAGGATGTTAAAAATAGAGATAACCATCCGGTTTTGTTGATTCTGCTGTGGGGTAGTAATCACCAAGGCAGGGGCAACTGGCATAGATAAAGGCAATAAAGGCTTAAATTGCCCTAGCAAGACTCATCCAGATGACATTTACCATCTTTCTGTAGCCATGCATAATAGCAAGAGATCAGACCCAGAATGTCCAATGGCACAGGACAGACTGTTATCCAAGCCTTGCTTCCCAATGCACTGAAATTTTAGAGGAACACTAGGGGTGTTAAGGGAAGAGATGGAAATATGTTTCTAGCTGTTTGCTTTGTTTTGTTTCCTGAAGGGTTATGTAACTCTACGTTAATTCTAGTAATGCCAGGTTGAGTAGAGCTTCGAAAAGCTTTTCCACAATACATAGTGCACCCAGTTCATGGTATAGATGTCATTATTCCCACTATGTATAGGGTGTTTACACAGGAACATATGCATGTGTTTTTGTGAAAGGTAAATGTGAGTTCGTGTATATTCGGGTCATTCTGTCTTATATGCATAGTTTAGTTATTTCTTGGGGAATTTTGAGACCTGATTTACTTTGAAATCAACTGTAGTTGAATCAGCATTACAAAGAGGTGTGTGACATAGCACATATGAAATTGGTAAAGGCAAACAAAATCTGTGTCTAAATATGTGGTATAGCTTTACAGCAGAAATTGCAATGTTGTACACAGTAGTCAGCATTTGATGTCATTTTATGCATTTCTGTAGCAAAGTCCTGCAATTATTATTATAAAATGTGGGTGCCACTAGAAGTGTTCTTTGGTCCCAATGTTTTCTGACTGGATTTATGAGCAGAACCTGAGCTGCTATGAATAAATAACTGAAAAGCTACCTAAAAGAATCATTATTGACCCACCCAGAAGGGTCTGACACTGAAATGATTTTGGCATGGGTGCTCTTATTTTCAAGTGATATGAGCCGCTTAGAATTCAGCATGGTTAAATTTTCATGATGCATGCACCAAAAGGCAAGGTGTTAAACCATCAGACACTCTGCCTTATTTATAACACCTATCCATCCTTCCTCTCCCCCCTCCTTCTCTTACAGTTAATAGAAAGATTCATGATTCTTCATGGTTGTCTATCTAGCGTCTGACAGTACCGACTGCACTGCTAAAGCAAGTCACTATCTATAATTGATATCCTTCTATGGAATAGGGTACCGGCTGCAATTGAAGGGTTTTGCTGAAAGCTCTTAAATCCTGACAAGTTCTGCCCTTGTTCTGGTTGTTGCTGAGCTGCACTGCTGAGATCCCAGGGTTATTTGAAGTTGATGCAAAAGGGGGTGCGTGTGTTGCACATTAGCAAGACACAAAGTTGGCGAGCCACGTTAGGGCTGCCACTGCATTCTCCCACCAGGTAGTCTTATTTACAGTGCCTTGCACTCCTGAAAAGGCTGGTTACATTAATGTTTGAAATGTCTATTATAGGTTTCTTTCTTTCCCTTTTTTCTTCTCCTCAAAAAATTAAAAAAATATCTTATTTATTTTAAAGCCTCAGTTTGCTGCTGGGGTCTTTATCATTCAGCTGTTTAATTAATTTCTCTGCCTAGTGAGATATTATAATTGGGCTTAGCTGAGCTTAAGTTTGTTTTAAATATGTGAGCGCCTAGAAGCTAATAAGATATTGTATATATTTATAAATCTGCTTTTTGTTGCAGTTTGTCCCTCTTTTTCCCCTAGAAATCAGTTAAGAATAAAATATTGCAAAAGGGTTAGATGCTAAAGATAAAAGTTTATTTAAGAAAATTATCCTTCAAGGAAATGACTAAATTTATTGTTAAATATTAATACAATGGCAATCAGAAAAACACAGTGCTGCCTATTTCTCATCCCCCTTGCTGCGTAGCCTTGATGATAATTATTTTTTATTCAAAAACATGCTTGAAGAACTGTAGAGCTATTTTTTTGTTAGTGTTTTCTCCTCAACTGTACAGCAATAAAATTATTTCATTGTTGTTACATTTGATTAGATGAGATCAAAAAGCCCTAAACTATCAGCAATGACTTACATTCAGGATTCCATTTGCTGAAGTCTTCCTGCCTATTTGCAAAGCCCTGGTGACTGGAGCACTCCACCTGGCAATCCCTGGGGATTGTGCTGCTCCACTTGGTTGCCTTCT